AGCATTTACTGTTTTACACCAGGAAAAGAGAAACTTTGAGCACCCTCTACTGCTAATCTCACTGGGATCCTCATAGCCTAATATACTGAACGCTAAATATTTGACTGAAGGCCACTGTGAAGCCTGTGAACAGAGTTAACAGATGTGATTATACTGAAAGCCATAGAAACGTTTGGAAAGTCACTTCAGGCTAAACCCAAGTAAATTAGGAAAGTTGAAAATTAAGGCCAGATAATGCCACAACCCATTAAATCTTCCTTCAATTGTAAAAGTCACTATTCTTTCATCTGCTGTCCTAATTTCCTTCCTAATATAAAATTCCAAGAAAAAAAAGGTCTGAAAAAGAATTTTTTTCTTGCTGTATCTTGTGTGTCACTCCTGAATATCTGTTTTAGACTAGTTTAAGCTTCATTAGTATCACATTTAAAATGTAAATAATTATCTTCTCTAATAGGCATCCAGCCAGGGCCCATTACCTATATGTTAGTTCGAATTTCCTAGTGTTTTCTTTCTTATTTTCCAGTCACTTATTTCAACACTATAAGCCTAAGCAAGTGTTTGAGCTACCATATCAGACCTCAGACCACTGCTGCTTAGTTGGGTCTTTTTGTCATTTTCAAATGAACTTTTATCATTCTTAAAGGTAAGACAAGGCTGCATTTTAGTTTGGGCTTAGAGATCTGGGGATCATGGGAGTTGCTGGTGCAATTAGTGGAGCTGGGAGGTACAGCTGAAGCAATTGTCCAACATCTTGAGAAGCAAAGGCAGCAAGTGTGTCTTCCTCATTTCCTGATTCTCTCTGAGCCATGGCTCTGACCACGAAGGGTGGGAATTTGAGAATGACAAAGCGAGCTTTCTAAAGTGAGCTTTAGAAATATTGTCGCACACACAGACTCAGAAAACACGATTCATGGAATAAATGGACCCAAGGGATTTTTTTTTTCTTTTTTAAATTGCATCGTGGTTAGGTTTTTGAGAAAATATATTTGGCTGTAATGTGGTTTAGGAAAGAGACCATTTTTAATAGGTTGGGAGGAGAATTCCCTCCAGGTTTGTCTACTACCTAATTATTTATAGATGAGTTATTTTAAAAATGGCCACTGTGAGCATTTGCCTCATTCAGTTCACCATACTTATGGTTCCAAGAATCTAGGTGTACCTTTTCTCTAATCTGTCTATATATTGTTTAAGTGCTAGTATTGTGCTTAATATTAACCATGTATGGAGAAGTAGTGAGAGAAAAAAATATGGTGAAAAGGAAATCACAATGTAATAGTATTAGCTTGAGATAGAGTTTGGGGCATAAACATTCATAGCAACAAAACATGGAAGCATAATAAATTCACCTAAGTCCCTGAAACATTTTTGTTTCAGAGGAATCTAACAGGGAGGGGGCGAGGGAGATGTACTATGGCTAAAGCTTCATTTCCTGCCAGTGTGTGTGTTTGCATTGATACGAAATGTTCATTTTCCTTTAAGTCCCAAACGTTACTTAGTCTGGCTGCCAGGTAAAGAAAGATACTAGTCTAGACATAATGATGGCTGGAAAATTTTTTAAATAATCTCAGATTTGTGCCCCAAGACTTTAACCTCATATCTCTTCCTTAGAAAAGCTCCTGGGGAAATGTGAAAAGATTATTTATCTGCCAAAAGGGACAAAATTAAGCCAACCTATTCTCAGTTGTGACACCCCACAGCTTCCTCCCTCAGATATTTAATTAATCATTAATTATTAATGGAACTCAAATTAGTTTCATTAATTCTGCTCTTACCTTTATTATTCCTTTCTTCAACTCTCTTTGGGTTTCCCCTTTTTACTTTTTTTTTTATATAAGTTTATTTTTTAGTTATTCTTGGCTGCATTGGGTCTTTGTTGCTGAGCGCGGCTTTCTCTAGTTGTGGCACGCGGGCTTCTCATTGCAGTGGCTCCTCTTATTGCAGAGCTCGGGCTCTAGGTGCGTGGGCTTCAGTAGTTGTGGCTTGTGGGCTCTAGAGCGCAGGCTCAGTAGTTGTGGTGCACGGGCTTAGTTGCTCCGCGGCATGTGGGATCTTCCCGGATCAGGGTTCAAATCCGTGTCCTCTATATTGGCAGGCAGTTTCTTAACCACTGCACCACCGGGGAAGCCCTCCCCTTTTTTCTTACTTTCTAACTTCTTTATTTGAATATTTAGCTCTTTAAGAAACTTGATTTAGTAAATATATGTAGAATCTTCAACACAGCAAAGACAGAATATACTTTCTTTTCAGATACATGGAACATTTACTACCACTGACATTGGGCTATGTCCCAAAGGAAGTCCCAACACATTTCAAAGAGAACACATACAAAGCAATTGAATTGAAAATAAATAATAAAAAGAAAAAATATTTTTGGAAACTGAAAAGTGCACTCCTAAATAACTCATAAATTAAAAAGGAAAGCACATAGAAAATGCAACATTCAAAATTGCCCAAGAGAATAAAGACACAGACCTACTAGAGAATGGACTTGAGGATATTGGGAGGGGGAAGGGTAAGCTGTGACAAATGAGAGAGTGGCATGAACACATATACACTACCAAACGTAAAATAGATAGCTAGTGGGAAGCAGCCGCATAGCACAGGGAGATCAGCTCTGTGGTTTGTGACCACCTAGAGGGGTGGGATAGGGAGGGTGGGAGGGAGGGAGACTCAATAGGGAAGAGATATGGGAACATATGTATATGTATAACTGATTCACTTTGTTATAAAGCAGAAACACACCATTGTAAAGCAATTATACTCCAATAAAGATGTTAAAAAAAAAAACAAGTTGCCCAAGAGTGAAAGCTACCACACACCAAATCTCACAGGAGGTAGCTACAGTAGTGTATAGAAGAAATTCTATAGCCTTAGGTGTATTTATTTAAAAACAAGAAAAACTGAAAATAAGTGAACATTCAACTCAAAAAACTAAAAGGGGAGAAGCAGAATACAGCCTCATGACATTAAAGAAAAAATTGAAAATAAGGAGAAATTAACAAATCCATAACTATAAGATAAAATTTTAACAGACCTCTATCAGAAAGTGAAAGATCAAATGGATGGAAAGCAATTAGGAGTAGAGAATATGTAAACATATAACTAAAAAGAGTTCCAAGAACCTGGTTTTATCCCCACATCAAGAGGAACTCTTCAATTTCCTTTTAGCTCCCCTGGAGCCAAAGAACCAACTGCCATGTCTACCCTAGACCTGGAGCCCTCAGGCCTGCAGCCCAGCTCTACTCTGGCTCTGCATTTCTATTCTGTGTCTGGACCACAGGTGGCTTGCCCTATTTTTGTTTGTGTTGTTTAATTGCAACTACGTATTTTTTAGTCTCTTACTTTCATTTACTTTTCTCTTCTTTTGATTTCTTTTTTATTTTATAAGTATTTTTGATAGTTTATGTGTCATTGTTATATGTTTGAAGCAGAGGAGATACACTGAAGCATAAACTCACTGTGTCATCTTGACCGGAAGTTATCACTTTTAAATTTTTTTTAATTTATTTTTAGTTTTGAATTGGCAATACACGTACATAGCAAAACATTCCAATCAAGAGATATAGAATACATAATCATGTTTTACATGCCATTCTATTTCGCTTCCCAGCAGATGATAAATAATCTCACAGAACAACTTCTGTATACCAACTGGTTAAATTCACCGATTATCAATTTTATCACATGATAAGGTATTTGTTATTTTTTCTATACCATTTTTCCTTCAAAATAAGCCCTGGGCTTCCCTGGTGGCGCAGTGGTTGAGAATCTGCCTGCCAATACAGGGGACACGGGTTCGAGCCCTGGTCTGGGAAGATCCCACATGCTGCAGAGCAATTAGGCCCGTGAGCCACAACTACTGAGCCTGCGCGTCTGGAGCCTGTGCTCCGCAACAAGAGAGGCCGTGACAGTGAGAGGCCCGCACACTGTGATGAAGAGTGGCCCCCGCTAGCCACAACTAGAAAAAGCCCTCGCACAGAAACGAAGACCCAACACAGCCAAAAATAAATAAATATATTAAATTAAAATAAAAATAAGCCCTGAATCTAGTCCTCTCTTTACTAGCCTCTGTTCCAACAGCCTTTCTAGTCCCCCATAAGCTTAAATATCACATCTTTCCTAGCCATGATGCTTTGACCATGATGTTTCTCTTCCTCTTGTCTACCAGTGCTTTCTTACCACTCCTCGCTGAAATGCAAATCCTTGGAATAACCTCCTCATCCCAAATCGCTGCACTTTAGTGACTAAAAATCTCTAAGAAATCTTCCCTGATTAAACCACATTCACCTTTCATCCCAGACTTTCTTTACATCTATATATGTATGTTGGATTATGATTTATCAGTCTCTATAAAGTATATGTTCACTGATTGGAATACATGTTTTCAACACTCCAACGTCAGGGAGTCAACAGTAAAATGGAAAGTGCCTGGGACTTGGAGTCAGACAGACCCACATTTAGGTGCTAGCTCCATTACTGTGTGATCCTGGGAAAGTAACTTGGTCTCTCTGAGTCTTCTTTGTCAGTAAATTGGGGATGATAATACCTAACGTCCAAGTCATCATGAGGACAAAATGAAACAATGTGCATGTAAAAGTCCCATACAGTGGCCGGCACATAATTGTTTCTCAGTACATAATAATTTCCTCCCTTTCCTGCCTTCCATATGTTTCTTGAGCTTATTACCCATTAGGCTTTAAGCTGCTTTAGCATCAGAAACTGCTTCCAGCTAAAATCACTGGCTCAGAGTTCCTACAAAATGGATACTCAGGTGTGTGATGAAAATGCACACACCCAACCTCCTTCCCTGCTGCTCTATCACCGCTCCCACCAGGGCCACCAGGCCACTCAAAGAAACATCACCTCTCAAAGGTCCACATTCTCACTACCAGCAGCACATCAGAAGGAAGTCTCTGGGTTCTAGAGCAAAACACCCACCAATCAAAGAGAGAAGGTTATCAGCGGAGATACCAGGTACATTAATTGGAGGCCCAACTCACCTGCCAGAACCAGCTTCCCTGAAGTAGGAAAAAGCTTATCCGCAGAAGTTCCACAGTTATATTGGTCAGTATGAACAGCTCCAAGAAGGCAATCAGGCCTGTCAAAAAGATGACCAAGACCAGAAGCTTGTGCACAAACATGTCCAGCATCTCTCGACCATGAGTGTGATTGTAGAAGACAAAACCTGATACAGGGAGAAAAAATAGTTTGTCTTTTTCAATGAAATTACCTACTGTTTCTCTCTCTCTCTCTCTCCCTCTCTCTCTCTCTCTCTCTCTCTCTCTCTCTCTCTCGACACAAAACTTTACAAACACACACATTTCTTTGTCCGAAATATCAGGTGCCCACTGCTTCCCACGATAATGGAAACCTCTACCATTTTTGGAGTCACCACTACCTCTTTAGGATGGAATCTTTTGAAATCTCCTTTTCCCTTCCCCAACCTTTATTCTCTCCTCCAATATGTCATGACATTTTCAACCAACTATATTTCAAAGCACCTCTTATGCAAAAGGATGAATAATAAGCAGGATGAGGGTAGGGCAGCAGGAGTTAGGGTGAATAGGCAGAGGAATGAGACAAAGCCTCGCCTTAAGAAATTCAGTCCACTGGAGGCAGCAGATATACACACAACTCATAAAAGTGCACTTTGATGGGTATGACAAGATTCTCTGGAAGCTTCCAAGAAGTAGTAGCTAGCTACATTTTTTAATCCCATGGACAGATTCCGGCTTCAGCTTCATTCTTTTCATTTGGATGAGGAGGAAAGGATGTTCATTCAAAATATGGTAACATCCTGAGATAATGAGAATCATGCTTAGTTGTTGGTGCCCAACTTTTATCTAGCTCTTGTTTTCAAAGAGCGTTTGGCAAAAGCTCTTACCTTTAGACGTGGGAGGCAAGGTGGACGTTAGGAAATGACTGCCTCCTGATAACTGGGGGCTTTTTCAGTTCTATGATCAATCTATCTTTTACATATAAAATAAATGAAAACAAATCATTAAATACTTGTTTTCAGTGTTTCCTTATACAGTAACAGGGAGGCCAACTGAACAAAAAAATGTTAGGACCTCATTTTTCTGTGACTGAATTTTTTGGACCCTGCTTATCATGTAATGGTGGAGTTTTACTATATCAATATTAAAAAGGCTAGTTTGTAGGTATGGAAGCTACTCTGCTGTGAGTGGTCTCTTCGTTTGAGGATATATATGCTTCACTACTCTGAGCTCAGTTTCACATGTTAAAGATGGAAATAATGATAATCTCCAGGATAAACCAGAGATAAATAACCATGGTAGGTGGTTCTTTAAGACAGATGTGAAATATGAATAAAACACATTGAATGATTGCGCTTGTCCAGCTATACTAAATGAGTCAGTAGGGAAGGAAAAACTTGGGCATACTGTCTAGGACATCTCAATAGCTCACCATGGCCCAAACAGATGGCCCTGTGGGTCAAGGCTGCACCAGGACACTAAAGGAGTATTATTGTAAAGGGCTAGACAAATGTCCAATAATAGTGAAAGGTATATGAAAATACTCATACTTACCCTCCACAAATAAGGCATTTGCTAACATTAACTTGGTAAAGGAGGCAGGAAGTGACCTGATGGTGGAACATAAGATGTTTGTCACACCCAGCAGCCCAAAGAAGAAGTACATGGTAAAATGATGCCAGCCCAGGAGTTGGACCCACTGGCCCTCTTTGTAGTCATATAAGGTCAGGTGCGGTCCTCCAGGAATAAACTGTTCTCCAAGCATGCCTACGGAGGGACATAGCACACTTTAAGCAATCTTTCCATAACTTTATTGAGAAAGCAGGAAGATGCAGAAGGATCAGCCTACTGCTTAGTCCAATATAGTGTCCTTTTATGACATTGATTCATCTTTCGGGGCTGTTCCCTAACAGCTGAGCACTGGTTCTTTAGGCTGGTTTTAGAGCTTCAAATACTGGTTTGGATAATCACTTTTAGTCAAAGATGGCCAATTTAGTCAAACAGCTATTTCAGATCTTCAAAGCTAATGATCTTAGTTCCACTGAGTTCCCCGATCAGTTCCACTGACGGTCTTAGTTCCTATTTTAATTTAATGACTAGATAAATCCTGAGTAATTTTGGATTTAGATTTGTGAGATTAGTTCTATGGCATCTGATTACTTCCTTCTTATACACTATGTCTTTGGGTAGGGAGTTGTGCTTGGTTCAGGATTAAAATGCTAGAGTTCAGCTTCTCCCCAATTAAGGATAACCGAGAAAGCACAGACAGATACAGCATAGAGTCTAGTCAGTTACACATTTAAGCTTTCTTGAAGATGCTGCTTTATTTATTAATCTATAGAATTTGGCAACGAAATCCCTCTCTTTAAAACTTTAAAAACACAGAACATTTTTACAGAATCATGGAGCCAATGGAAAGGCCTTACAATCATCTGGCCCAACCTCCCTCTCTAATTTAGTAATCACACAAAGAGGATGAGCGCAGGAGATAAGTTTTCTTCAGCCTGACCGTCTGGACAGCCTATCGGCAATGATTTATTATTGAAGCCTTCCCATAATCATTTGATTATTTTGGTGTCATTTTGAAAAATGGTTTCTGATAGAGTTTACTCTTTCAGGCATCAGAATAATTGATACAAAATTATTTTAAAGGCTCCAACTAATTCTATAAAGGAAATTCACCTTGAATGGGCAGGCAAGTTAACAGCTATGACTAACTCATTAAGGAATAGCCCTTTGTATAAACATGAAGTATCACCTTCTAGTAAATTATATCAGATAGAAATTACAATTAGAATATGTATTTCAGTATTTTTGAATAAAAATTTTATTTTAGCAATTTCTTGTTTTGATATTGAATCTTCTCTTTGCATGTGAAAATACCCCAAAAAGCAGACAGAACACAGAAAAGGGTCACTCACCAGTTAAAGCCATTCCAGCTATTATGATTCCCTCCAAAATTTCTACTCGATGGAATAATACTTTGGAATCAAGGTAGGAAGTCCGCTTGTGCTTTTTGAAGGCATATTTCAGAATGCACTTTGTTGTCCACCAAATCCCCAAGATAAAGAAGAAGGTTCCAGGGAGAGCATGGCCTTTGAAATCCCCCATGACTATCAAAATAATAACATATAGAAGATGAAGACATTTCATTTCCAGAATTTGGCCAAAACATCGCTTATTCCTGTAAAGTACGCTATCTTCTGATGATGATGGATACACCTCTGAGTCAGAGGATCCAGTATTACTGTCAACAGTGGTAGATCCATTAAATATCAACAATACCAAAAAGAGGAAAAATCCACATTTGTTGAACACTTACCTTGTTCTAGGCACTGTGTCAAGTGTTTTACATGTGATCTCTAATCTAATTTTCACAACATACCCATGAATGAGGGGCTAAGTCACATTTTCAATTGGGATTCAGGTTTAGAGAAGTGAAATGACTTACCTAAATCTCACAACTATTTTTGAAAAGTTTCATTGTTTTTAACAGGGAGCTCAAAAGATCTATTAAAAATGATAGTGTGTACTCAACCAACACTTACACTTTAAGCATATTTGAAAGAAAGTAACAGGAAAGTTTTACCTTTATGCTTAAAACTTGAAATGATATGAAATTGCCTACAAAAAATTTTAAGCAGGTAATTTCAAAGTATCAAGCATCAAGTGTGTGGAAGAGACCATTAGGGCTCATCAAGTATCTGTGTACTCTTCCACGCACTTTTCCCAGCCCCTTCTCCATTTGAGTCAGAACCACGTTTCTAGTTCTGGCCAATGGACTGTGGCATTTGTCACTTCCAGGCTGAGTCAGTTAAGAGACTGTATGGCTCCTTTAACTCTCTTTTCCCATGCTTTGGCAACCCTGGCATGGCATATCAGCAACATAGGAGACAGTCAACCAGCCTGCATCAGATTTTTGCAAGAAGCAACCCTTTATTGTGTTAAGTCATTAAAATGTTGAGGTTTAACAGCTTAACCCAGCCTATCCAGAGGGATACCAAGCCAAATCAATTTGTAAATTCTGTTTACACTATTGCTACATGATCGAGCAATAAAAAACAGAAATATCCTCCTTCTTTTTTGGTCAGTGCTATAGAAAACCAGTTTTGAATTATATGAGTTTTGAATTATGTGAGCAGCCCTTTCTTCAAACATATTGTACCATCTACAGAATAACGAAAAGAGAGTTCAGAATCATCCCTGTGGATCAGAGTAGGCCAGCTGCAGGAGAACTCATGAAAGGGGATTTCAGGGTTCCCCCTGGCCCAGAAGAGTTCTTTATCTCCTTGGGTGGGTACTGGACCTCTCAGTTCGGGGCAGATCCCTCTGAGTTACTTCCACATCCCTCTGACACAACTGTGAAGTTTCAAGGGGGAACTATGAAGCTGACTCCAACACTAAAAGTCTGTTAAATCTCCAATTGAGACCCCAGATGGACATTTCAGCACACCCCTGAATCATGCCTACCATCAAGAGACTCTGATTCAATGTGTCACACAGTGCTAAGAGCAGCTTCTTACCCTGACTCTGACTCTGTTAGACGTATGGTTTGGACTATGTCCCTTAAGCTCTCTGAGCCTTGGCTCTTAATTAATAAAGAAAGAGGTGGCCTAGATGACACCTGGAGTTCCTTCCTGCTCTAACAGATTCTGTGATTCATTATCCTAACCACCATCTTTATCACAGTGTTACTGAGTCCTCTTATTTGTCTTGGCTTAGACAACCACGTGAAATTGAAAAATGCTTCTACATGGGATTGAAAAGTACATCTCGACTGTAAATTTTTTGAACTTTTCTGGAAAAGAATTTGATATGTTCTAAGGAACCTTAAAAATTTTGCATTCCTTGGTACAGGAAATCCACTTCCAGGACTTTATCCTAAAGGTCTAACCAGAAATACAGGCACCAAATTAGAAACAATATATATGTCTAAAATTAGGAGATAGGGGATATATTTAGTAAAAATCAAAAATAAAAAGAATAGGATTTTTTAAAAACTGAGGAGAGGGGACTTTGGATTCAGGTTGACTAGATCTGAATCCCAACTTTACCATTTACCAGCTACATGACTTTGGGAAAGTTATTTAACCTCTCATGCCTTAGTTTCCTCTTCTGTAAAATGAGACAAATTTAAAATTAAAATGAGTTATTCCAAAGCAAATAACCCACAGTATTATTAAACAAGCTCATGCTATCCTCAACCTATCTCAAACTATGAAAGTAAAACAAGAGTAAAACCAGATGAGCAATTCTACTTGGATACCAATTGCAGAAAAGCAAGAAGCACCTATACAATTCACTTAGCAATCATTTGTGTACTGCCTATAACATTTCTCCTGCTGTTGTCTTAGAGTGTTACTAGAATCTTCAGGGGTTATTTAACTCCTTGACTGCAATTAAAGAATAAGCTCCTTGGGCTTCCCTGATGGCGCAGTGGTTGAGACTCCGCCTGCCGATGCAGGGGACATGGGTTCGTGCCCCGGTCCAGGAGGATCCCACATGCCGCGGAGTGGCTGGGCCCGTGAGCCATGGCCTCTGAGCCCTGCGCATCCGGAGCCTGTGCTCCGCAATGGGAGAGGCCACAAGAGTGAGAGCCCGCGTACCGCAAAAAAAAAAAAAAAAAAAAAAAAAAAAAAGAATAAGCTCCTTGAAAGCAGGAACCATAAATCTATTCTTCTATTTCCCCACTGGACCTACATAGTGTCTTATACACTGTGAAGTTCTAACTTAACAAAAGTAACTAAGCCCTTCTTATAATACAAGATCACATATTTATACAACACGTCCATTGAACTAATCATCTACCCATCCATTACCAGAAAATAATTTTTCCTCCAGTTACCACCATTCACCCACTTGCCCAAACCCAAAATGTGAGAGTCATCCTAAAGTCCACCTATGTCCCTGAAAACTAATTGGTTATTGATACTTACTGCCTCTGCTTCCTTAGGTCAACCCTCTCCTGCCCCAAACTTGGCTGACTTCCCCTAGCCTCTTCAGTTTTATCTGCTTGGGGAAATCCTCCCTGACGGCCCAGATAGGAGAGGACCGCTCTTATACCTTCTCAAAGCACCCAGTTCTTACTTCAATGAATTCTTTGTGTGATTAGTTACTGAAAGTCTGCCTTCTCCATTAGCCTGTGAAATTTCACTATATTGTGAAAGCCTGTGAAGCAGGTACTTGAGGTTTCTCAGAGGTTAGGAGCCTGGTCCTGTTTTTGTTTGTTTGTTTGTTTGTTTGTTTTTTAAGGCTTCTGGTATAGGAAAAAAAGGAAGAAAATTCCAAAACAGAGTTACCAAAACTGTGGTTGCTTTTAAATGTTTACTTTTACCTAATAAGTACTTTGAACACACACGTGAAACATACTACCTATCTTGGAGATAACATGAAAATTTCTGAATTGTGCAGCTCTAGGCCAAATCCACCTCTATGACCAGTTAACAGGTTCCTGCTGCCCCAAAGGCTGAATGGACCAATATATCTCAGCACAGCCCATTGGGATGTGATACGGAGGCAATGGGGAATAGTTGAAAGATTTTGAGATGAGCAGAGTGGGATAAGAAATGACTCCTCGGGCTTCCCTGGTGGCGCGGTGGTTAAGAATCTGCCTGCCAGTGCAGGGGACACGGGTTTGAGCCCTGGTCTGGGAGGATGCCACATGCCACGGAGCAGCTAACCCCATGCACCACAACTGCTGAGCCTGCGCTCTAGAGCCCGTGCTCTGCAACAAGAGAAGCCACTGCAATGAGAGGCCCATGCACTGCAACAAATAAAAGTAAATAAATTTAAAAAAAAAGAAATGATTCCTTGTTCTTATATCAGTTATAGAACTTCTGTATCTTTAGCCTTTTAATCTGAAACACTCTGATGCTTCCAATCTTTCTCTGTTTAAAAGACCCAAACAAAATGAAGTCAAAGCAGCTTGTTGTATTTGCCTGGCTAAGGGACTAAGCAGACCCAGTTGCTCCTGGCAACAAAATGGCATTCATTTGATTTCACTTCCACTGTGGAGAGGAAAAAATCACTCAAATCCTCAAACAACACTTCACTCAACTTCTAGAAAACCACTCTCTGTATATCTGTCTTTTGTTACCTGTTTTTCTATTGCCTACAGGTACAACTCACTGCTTATGAAAACATAGTAGTCCAGGGTTTAATTAGATCTCAATCAAAAAAGCAGACACATTGCCCTTGGAAGGAGAACACAGGGCTTTCCTCTTCCACAAAGCAGAACATACCTGCCAGAAAGCTAGCAGAAACCCCAGGGAAAATCACCAGGATAGCAAACCAAAAGGTCCTTCCTCAACATCCTCCCTGCTTAATCGCACCATTTGTAATCTCGTGGGGAAAGAGGTTCAGGCAGGCCTAAAATGGTGGGCTTCAAGATTCAATCACTGGCTTCCAGCTGCCATTCATCCTAAAAATGTTTATTCCTCCCCATCTGAAAAAAACCCTCTGCTCCTAATGACACCAACCATCACCCTCTGGGCTAAGACAAGAAGCAACCCCTAAAACCCTCATTGGCTCCTTTTTTCTGACCACTGCCATACACACACACTCACTCACCACCCGAAAATATTTTTAAACTCTAGCACTTGGGGTTAATATTGGGCAAATCTCAAGATCTAAATCAGGCGTTAGGTGTTAATTCCCATTAACCAAAGTCACTTAAACCAAAAACCAGACCTGTGTACAGAAAGAGGAGAGAACTCAAAATAGCCCAGAGAAAGAAATCCTACAATTTACTTGTTGGAATCTCAACAAAATATCTAACTTCAATATAAAATGAATACCATGGAGAAAAACTTAAACTAAAAATTCATCTTGAGCCAGCACCAAAATAAAGTATCCCTAAATCTTAATTAGTGACTCATATTTCAAGACATTTATATATTCCAATACACTAAACCAATTAGAGCCATTTCTTGAGCTCACTTTACCGTTTGCCTTAATTCTAAAAGCAAAGTGTATACAAGCATATATAGCTTTAAATTTTTTTGATTCTCCATCATTCCATACCAGTTCTTTCTCTCCAAAATTTCAACTGTTTTGAAAGACTATTCTTAGTTAAATTATCCTTACCGTCACACTTTCCTCAGTGTCAAGTCAA